CAGCACAGGCGTCGTCCTGCTGAGTGTCGCCGTGTGCACCGCCACGGTCGGCGTGTTCCCGGTGCCTCGCCGTGGGGACAGCGCATGCACAGGGCCCTGCTGGGCAGATGCGCGCATGGCCCGGGTGCATTACGGGGTGACTTCCATGTGACATGGAGAGAAGCTGCTGAGCCATCTTCCCCAGTGGCCGCCCCAGCCCCCATGGAGCCTGGGACTGTCCCCCTTCCTTGGCTTCCGGAGGACTATGGGTGGGGGCTGTTACTTCTCCCGGAATGCTTGCCAGCTCCCCCCGCCCTGCGGAGCCCCGTGGGGCCGCCCCTTTGGCGGGAGGGAGAGTCTAACAGAAGAGCTCATTTCTCGCCTCGGTGTGTTTTTGATTTTGTCTTGTCACTGTCACTGGCGTTTCTGGCCGTTTGTGCCTTTCTGGGAAGTAAGCGCCCCATCCTGTCCCCTTACTCCGTAGGCACGAAGCCACCTTAGGATTCCTGCTCCTCCTCCTCTCCTCATTTCGGTGACTGGTCCCTTCTCTGTTTCCTTGTTCCGTTTAAGCTAAAGTTTCCGCCACGGACTTTTCCCCCCGCAAAGAGCAGCGGTTTTGGTGTTGGGGGTTTTGTCTGTTTCCCACCCGGTAATTCCTGCTCCCGCTTTTCTTCTCTCCTTCTCGGGGTTCGATTTGCTCTTCGTTCTCTAGTCTCGAGAGGGCAGCTGTCCTTGCTGACCCCGGGGCTCTGTGTGATGGGTCCGTGGTGTTTGCGCCCCGCTCCGTTAGCTGCAGCCCTCACATTGGGATGCGTCGCGTCCACCGTTGCTCGTGTCCCGTCTGTGAACCCGTGTCATCCATTTCCAGGTGTTTGGGGTTCTTGACGTTTCTTTCGTTGTTGATTTCGGCCGTGAGCCCTCTGCATTTGGGGTGCTCCGGGCGCATTGTGTGGCCTCGCGTACAGGCCGCCCTGTGCAGCTGTCCGCATGCCCCCAACGGCATGTGCGGCTTCCGCTGCCGGCCTGAGGGGTCCGTGAAGGTCACTTCGGTGAAGTTGGGGCTGGCATGGCTCAGCTCTGCTGTGTCCTTGCCGAGTTGTTGATTTCGGCCGTGAGCCCTCTGCATTTGGGGTGCTCCGGGCGCATTGTGTGGCCTCGCGTGCAGGCCGCCCCGTGCAGCTGTCCGCATGCCCCCAAGGGCATGTGCGGCTTCCGCTGCCGGCCTGAGGGGTCCGTGAAGGTCACTTCGGTGAAGTTGGGGCTGGCATGGCTCAGCTCTGCCGTGTCCTTGCCGACGTCCTGGCCGCTCCGTCAGTGACTATGCGTGTGGCGTGCGGATGCCAGCCCTGATCGGTGTGTTGTCTCTTTCCCCTGGGGTGCCGGCCCGCTCTCCGTGTTTTGGGGCTCTTGCTAGGTGTGTGCACGTCTGTCACTGTTGCCTGTGTCTGGGGCACGGATGGTCTGGTCACACGACCGCCCCTCATCTGTTTGTCCTGATATAAAGGCGTCTCCTCCAGCTTTTCAAGGCCTGTCTGTCCCCTCTGTGCCCTGCGTGGAAAGCAGTGGTGGGCGTCCTCGGCGCCTTGTGCCAGGAGGCCCGTCTGCCTCATCTCTGGTGATGACCTTGAGACAGGCAAGGGCGGCCTTCCAGCCAGCCTCCCACCCAGGTCAGTCTGCGGCACCTTTTGGCAAACTTCAGCCTGTCACCTGATTTTGTTTTTTTCCTATGAATGTCGCTTTTTCTTTTTTTTTCTTTTTTTGGTATTTTGTTTTATCTATTGTTCCTTTCACGTCTATAGAACATCGCTTAGACGTTTACGTAGTTTATGAAGCGGTCCCCCGATTACTCTGTCTTCCCTCCAGCTCTCCACCCAGCCGTGACATTACCGCTGACTGCTGTCCCTGCGCCGAGCTCCCCGTCCCCGTGACCGTCTATCAGCTACTAGTTCGTACTTCTTCAACCCTTCACCCCATTCTCCCAGCCCCCACCCCTTCCCCTTTCTCCGTCACTAGGTTGTCCTCTGTATCTGTGAGTCTATTTTTGATTAGTTTGTTCTTTTCGTTCCTTAGATTCCGCATGCGAGTGAAATCACACGGTATTTATCTTTCTCCGACTTATTTCATTCAACATAGTAACCGTTAGGTCCATCCATGTCGTTGCAAGTGGTAGGAGTTCTTTTTTTAATGGCCGAGTCATATTCTATTGCATATTGTCCGGTCATCTGTCGAGGGGCATTTAGGCGGCTTCCGTGTCTTGGCCACTGTAAATTGTGCTGCTGTGATCATGGGGTGCGCAGATCTTTACAAATTAGTGTTCCGGTTTTCTTTGGATAAATACCCAGAAGTGCAATTGGCGGGTCAGAAGGCAGATCCGTCTTTACTTTTCTGAGGCAACGTCCACACTGTGTTCGTGGCGGCCGCTCCATTCGCGGTCCCAGCGACAGGGCTGGAGGCTCCCTCTGCCCCGCGCCCTCCACAGCACGCGTTTCATACATTGACGATGGCCGTTCTGACGGGCGCGAGGCGGGATCTCACTGTGGTTTCGTTTGCATGTCTCTGGTGATTAGTGACCTTGAGCATCTTTTCATATGTCTATCGGCCATCTGTGTGTCCTTTTTGGAGAAATATCTATTCAGATCTTCTTCACATTAAAAAAAACTATGATAAAATGCAAATGATGTAAACTTGACCATCATAACCACTGTTAAGGGCACAGCTCAGTGGTCTTAGGCACACTCAAGTCATGCAGCCGTCCCCACTGTCCACCTCCAGAGCTTTCCCATTGTCCCACGCTGACACTCGGTCCCCATTACACACTCCCTCCCCTCCCCTCCCCAGCCCCTGGCTCCACCATCTACTCTCTATCTCTGAATCTGACTCCTCGGGGACCTCCCGTGAGTGGGAGCACACAGGATGTGTCCTCCTGTGTCTGGCTGGTGTCACTGAGCACAGTGTCCCCCAGGCCCACCCCCGCTGCAGCAGGCATCAGGATGCCTGACCTTTTCAGGGCTGAGTCGTACCCCACTGTCTGGAAGTACCTGCCTCATTCACGCGTCATCTGCCGCCGGCACCTGGGGGGTTTCTGCGTCTCGGCTGCTGTGGACTCGGCTCCTGTGGACACGGCTGTGCGGTGTCTGTGTGGACGTGTCTTTCTCTGGGGCAGACACCTGGGCGTGCGGTTGCTGGGTCAGGTGGCGGCTCCTGCGTCACCATCAGAGGAACCGCTAGACTGTCTCCCACGGCAGCTGCACATCTGACGTTCCCACAGCCGCCTGTGAAGCTCATTTCTCCACGTCCTCGTCAACTCTTGTCATTGTCCGTCCTCGCGGGTGAGGCGGCGTCTGCCTGTGGTTTTGATGTGTTTATCATTCTGTTGGCAGAGCTGGCAGAGGGGGGCGTAGGAGACAGCCAAAGGGGAGGCCTGAGGTGGGGGCTGGGGGCTCTGGTTTCCGGAGGCCGGAGCGAGCAAGGCGCCCGGGGAGAGGTGCCCGTCTCAGCCGAGATGTGGAGACCCAAAGGCCAGGACGGCACGTGACCGGACGGCCAGGGACCGAGGCTGCAGGAGCCTTGGAGATGGGACAGACCCCTCAGACCTGGTGGCCTTTCTGGGACCTAGGGTCTGCCACCACGTCTGCTGCCGAAGGCACACGAGGTCCCTGACTGTGCAGTGTGGCCGTTTCTGACACAGGCCTGGCCCAGGCAGACGGGCAGACACAGGGGCCCATCCCCCTGGTTCTGGGGCCAGACCTCTGAGATCCAGGTGTCACGGGGCCTTTCTGCCTGTCGCAGCCTCTCGGGACCCCAGTGTCCCTTGGCTCATGGCCTTATCACCCCAGTCTCTGCCTCCATCGTCACGGGGCCCCTCCCGGTGTCTGAGTCCAAGTTCCCCTTTTCTTGTGAGGACACTGTTCCTGGGTCAGGGCCACTCCAGTGTGACCTCGTTTTAGCTAATTACACCTGCAAAGACCCTGTTTCCAGGTGGATATGAGTTTTAGGGGACACTACTCCCCCCATGACACTCGGTTGCCCACCTGGCCCTCGGTCTCTGGTCTGGCCCTTGGGGGAGGTTGAATCCTGGGCCAGCTGGGCCAGGTGAGGGCCTGGCAGGGCTGGGGGACATGTACCCCGCGATGGAGGAGGAAGTGCGAGTTGGGGAGAGGGGAGCCCTGACGGGGTTTGCTGGGAGCAGTGGGGAGGCGCCCCGGGCAGGGCAGAGGCTGCGAGTGCCACGTGGGGCTGGCTCTGTCTTGGCTGCTGGTGTCACCTGACCGCAGAGGTATCTGAGCAGGGTGGTTGCCCAGAGCCCTGCGTTTGTCATGGTGCGGACCCTGGGGGCGTGTGACACGGGCCTCGTAGACCTGGGGGCAGGTGGCCCCATCCTGAGCGTGGTCACCGTGGGGTCTCTGGTGGGGAAGCTGGGGGCCCCTCAGCTAGTCCTTGCCCCCCGGGTCCCCGGGAAAGACGCAGCAGGTGTGGGAGTGGGGTAGGCCCCCGTAGCCCCAGCACTCCTCCTTGTGGACTCAGTCCGGCCCACTTGTCCCTCCAGGCCCCCAAGGCTGGCCCCCTACATGGCCCAGTGTCCTCCCTATCCCATTGGGGCTGTCTGCCCCCGGCCTGTGTCCACCCCTTCCATGAAGGGGGCCCCAGCGCCGACTGAGTGGGGGTGGGGGTGGAGGGGGACGGATGGAGGGGGACCCTGGGCGTGGCGTGTTGGTGACCGCTAGCAAGGGAGTTGCCGCCCAGTGCCTCCAGCGGGGACGCTTGCCTCACAGCCCCCGCCCCGGGCTTGGGCGACTGGGACAGGCAGGGCGCGTGGAGGGTGGCCAGGCCTTCTCTTCGCGCAGGTTCGTGCTGGCTGTGGGCAGCGCCGTCTTCGATGCCATGTTCAACGGTGGCATGGCCACCACGTCCGCCGAGATCGAGCTGCCCGACGTGGAGCCGGCCGCCTTCCTGGCGCTGCTCAAGTAAGACCCGGCCTCCCTGCCCAGGGCGTGGGGGGCTCAGGGAAGAAACGAGGACCTGGTGACGTCGCCTCCAGAGCCCTGGCTCTCCAGAAGCTTCTAGAACTTGCTTCCGCGGCAAGGGGGCCTCTGGAGGCCCCCACCCCGTTTTAACTTTTGTATTTTTAACTGACATGTAATTCACATGCCGAACAAAGTGTGCAGTTCAGTGGCCTTTAGTATATTCACAGGGCCGTTCTCCCAGCGCCCCAGAAGGGAGACCCGGGCACCCCCAGCAGCGCCCCCAGCCCCGGCCCCTGCTCTCCCGCTCCCCTTCTCCGCATGCGCCTGCTCGGCACGGTTCGCATCAGTGGAATCACACAGCGTGGCCTCTGTGTCTGGCTTCTCACTGAGCATCGTTTTTGGGGTCCGTCCACGACTTGTGTAGGGTGTGTCCGGGCCCCTCGTTTTGATCCTTGCTAGTCGACAGTTAAAGCACCACGAGGTAAGACTTGTAAATGCCACCTTTTTTCCTTTTAAGTTTCAGAACTTTTGCTCTAGTGAGCGCCCGGGGAGGGGGGCTGTCACAGTCGCAGGACACAGAGCCACCTCGGACGAGAGGCGAGGCTGGGGCACCATGGCAGCGTGGCCTGTGTGACATCTCGGCCCTGGCTGTCCAGCGGGGTGACTTGGGAATGTCCACGCCTTCCTCCTTGCCATTGGGCTCCCAGGACACAGGGTGTCCCTCGCCGTGGGCGACTCAAGGTGACCCCGAACACTTAAAACATCTCTTTGAACACAGCGTTTGCTCTCTTCCTCCCAATGACGAAGGTGGCCCAGGCACACGCACCATGAACACGGGGACGTACAAAGGACAGCGTGGGCTGGCCCCTCCGGGCCGGGGTCCCGTGTGCAGGGTGCTTGTCCCTGCTTGTCACCCATGCCCTCAGTTCGTTGGCGGGTGTCCTTGTGTTGGCGTCGGCACCCATAACCGCTGACTCCGTGGGACATCATGGGTGCTGTGGCCACCCAGCGCCCTCCAGCTATAGCACTGAGGGACAAGCCCAGTCATGCAGCGCTGCGCCTTCCTCAGTGGTTCCCCTGCCTGGGGCCGGTGGCTCTGTCTTCGCTGGTCCCCTCAGCCCCTGTGACTGCAGAAGAAGCCGAACAGTTTGCGGGCAGGGCTGTGTGCCAGTAAAGCTTTATTCAGGAAAGTGACAAAACCATACTAAGACATCACTTCACACTAGGACGGCTATTACAAAAGTGACAAAAGAAAAGGAAGCCAGCAAGGCCATGGAGACATCAGGGCCCTCGCGCCTGGCTGGGGGTGCGAAGCTGGGTGGCCGCTGTGGGGATGGTTTGTGGGTCCCTCAGAAGTTAAACGGAGAGTCACCGTTCGACCCAGCAACTCCACGGCTGGGAGCCCAGGGGCACCGGGAGCCGGGCGCAGGCAGAACCGCCCCTGGCCCTCCACACAGCCGCAGGACGCGCCGTGGCCAGAAGGTGGACACGAGCTCAGTGTCCCCGGACAGGTGATGGACACAGTGAGGTCCCTCCAGACAGTGGAGCATGACTCAGCCCTGAAAAGGACGGGCATCCAGACACTTGCTGCAGCCTGGGTGGACCTGGAGGACACTGTGCTCAGTGACATAAGCCAGACACAGAAGGACACGTCCTGTGCGACTCCACTCAATGGGAGGTCCCTGGAGGAGTCAGATTCAGAGACGGAGAATAGATGGTGGGTGACGGGCTGGAGGAGGGGGGGGCGTGTGTAATGGGGACGGGACAGTGTCAGTTTGGGACGATGAGAAAGCCCTGGAGGTGGACGGTGGGGACGGCTGCACGACCTGTGAATGTGCTTAAGGCCACTGAGCTGTGCCCTTACGAATGGTTAGGATGGTACATTTAATGTGTGTTTTACCGTAATTAGAAAAATAAAAGTCATTTATTTAAAACATTGAAACCAAAAATGGATAGCAGGTTGCAGTTTGGCAAACCCTGCCTTAGGGTAAGCTGCTTTGACAACTACGGCTGAGTCGTGCTTCACAGAGGGCCATCGCCTTGGTGTGTTGGGGCCTGTCCCGCTGGCTGCCCACGCTGACATTGGGCGGGTCACTCTGGGGGCCGCAGTAGGCGCTGCAGGGTGTTGAGCGGCACCTCTGGCTTCCTGGGGCGCAGGGTCTGTCTGCCCCCCGGACTCCAGCTGCTGGGCCGTGTTTGGGCTCCTGGCACACCGGGGCGGGACCTGGCTGCTCGGTGCTGTGCGTCCGCCCGCCATGCACAAGGCTCCCACGCCGCCACAGCCTCACCCGCTTCCCACCCACTCTGGACGCGGGCCGTGCCAGGGGTCGCTTGCCCACGAGTGTCTGCGGTTCAGGCTGACACTTCCGGTCCCCAAATTGACCAGACCTCCCCAAGCTTTGCCACCGGCCTGCCGCATGGGTCGGGAGGTGTGGAAACGTCCCATGTCCCTGGCCTTCATGGTGGCCTTCGGCCCTGGTGCCCCAGCACGGGAAAGCAGCAGGCCTGCGGTGTAGACGTGTTTCCCGGGTGGAGACTGGGTGGTTTGGCCTCTCTCTGGTTTTCACTGGTATTGGCCTTGGCGAGGTCCCGTCTGCAGGTCTGAGAACAACAGATGCTGGTTCTGGAAGGTTCCTCAGGGCCGGGCCAGTGGGGTGGGGGCCGGTGCGGGTCCCCGCGGGTCTGACGGAGTGGAGCCGCAGCCCCTGCTCACGGCCGCCCGCCCCACCCAGGTTCCTCTACTCGGATGAGGTTCAGATCGGGCCCGAGACCGTCATGACCACGCTCTACACAGCCAAGAAGTACGCAGTGCCCGCGCTGGAGGCGCACTGCGTGGAGTTCCTGAAGAAGAACCTGCGGGCGGACAACGCCTTCATGCTGCTGACACAGGT